TTGTTCTCTGTTTTCTTCTTCTTTTTTCCATTTGGTATTTCAGGGAATATTCTGGTACACGTAATGCTTCTTATGTCTGTCTCAAAGATATCTATATTTCACAAACAAGTCTAAAGCGTTTATGGTTGTCTTTTAAGATTCATTTGGCATAAAATTGGTCATATTTCATCCTGATTTCTTTGTTAATATTATCCACAATGTCTGGTGTGTTGCATTTGTGTCATGAATATGTTGGGGAAAATCATTTCCCAAGGTTCGGTCCAAGGTGGGAGAGTAATATGGCGAATAGATGTGGCATCAACGGGGTTGATTAACTGGGAGTATAAAATCTCATTGGTATGCTTCCTTGGAGATTGCCCGCTATTTCGAGTAGAGCAGTGGAGGATACAAACTCATTGGCCACCTAGTAGATTGTTGCTTAATGATTCTTAGTACAGTGTGTGTGTGTGTGTGTGTTGTATTCTGTCTTTTGGGACATATGACTGAAAATGGTAGGTACAGTTTTGGACTGGTAGGAGTTCTGGTGAAACGTTTATGTGCTATTAGTTTGACTGCTGAAGGATTTCTGATTTGAATTTATAACGCGGTGACTAATAATGCTCCGCACTGGAGTGATCGTGCTGCTGTAGAAATGTCGAAGTGATAAAAGATACAAGAGGTTATGTATTTATTTTTGTTTTGTAGGCTGTAACTCGAGTGAAGCCGTATATCTGCACTATGCCGCTGAGGATGGATGATGGCTGGAATCAAATCCAGTTTAATCTGGCTGATTTTACCAGGAGAGCCTATGGAACAAACTATGTGGAGACACTGCGAGTTCAGGTTCATGCAAATTGCCGCCTGAGGAGGATATATTTCTCTGACCGCTTGTACTCCGAAGAGGAACTTCCTCCTGAGTTTAAGTTGTACCTCCCAATGCAGGTAATTTAGATTGATCCAGTCTTCTAATGCCCGTAGTTATGGTTCTGTACCATGTCATTCGTTGTCCACTCATTGCTTGTAATGTTTGTGCTTCACAGAAAGCATGATATGATGCAACAAAGGAGGGATCGAACCCATTGGAGCTGGATTTTGAGACTTCAGATTGTAATTGTGTGGATGTGCTTGATTTGTTTATTTCCGGTCCGTTTTTCGAACTTATTTTGTTAAAAGAACTTATCTGCTACACAACATTGTAACTAAATTTTAGAAAACTCATGGTGCCTATAGTACTGTTAGTGGTGATCAAGATATAAAATATTGATGATATCGGAAATATCCGTAATCCAAAAACACGAAAATTTTGATGGAAATATCGGGATATTATCGATATCGATAAAAATTGAATAAAAACCACGGAAATTGTAAGAAAAACTTGGAAATTTTTATTGAAACTTTGTAGGATGTTTATTTAGTCAATTATCTATTAGTTTATCATAAAAAATTGGAAGGAAATGCATTGCATGATAGATATAACGGATTTAAGTTGATTATATAGCGAGCTGTTAAACATTGTGAGTGTAGAAAATATGTAGTAATTAATGAAAGAAGTTTAAATACACTATAATCATTTATATATAATGAATTAGTATAATATTTTACGCTTTATACATTGCATGGTAAGATACATGAGTGACTTAGCAAGGTCTAAAATATCGATGATATCGGAAATATCGGTAGTCCAAAAACACGGAAATTTCGATAGAAATATCGGGATATTATGGATATTTTAGACCATGGTGGTGATTTGAATATGGTATACTTATTGTTCCTCGTGTTTTATTCCCCCCTTATGTCTCAGTTCGCCTCTTAGATTTCAGTCCGTATCTTTACACCTTGCACCCAAAAGCGATTTCTGCATAATTTTTCACCTTCGACACGCTCTCTCTTAAATTTGGGCCTCATGGTGAACAGTAGAAGGGAGAGCCCTTCAAATTTTCGGAAATAATGATGATGAAAAGAACAATATGTTAATAACAGTTCATGTGCAATGTTCATTGATAGTTCTATTACCACATTACAATTGTCAACTGTTGTGTTCTTGAGAAAAACGAATGCTTTCGGTTTCGGACCATGAAATCAACCGTCTAACACATATTACAGGATTTGTCTACACATTTACATAACTGATGAAAGAAATAGTATTTTAAATTGCAAACCCTCCCCGCGCAATGGCAGACGAAGAAATCCTTGCAAGTGGAAAGCTCTGGAATGACAGGTAAAGTTATGAACATGAAGAGTTTTATCAGATGCCCGTAAAATCTTTGAAGTTCAATATGGATATGCAAGCCTAGCTCTGAATTATATGTTCAGTGGGAATTAAGGAAATGCATTATGTTTTAGATTTCACTGTTTGAAATACGTATAGTTTGTGCAATGCAATGTGCATATAGGTTTTGTTTTCGATTTGAATCCTGAATTTGCAGAAGACAAGAGCATGGAAAAGCAGTTAAGTAATGGATTCCTTTACAGATAAGTGGTTCCACATACCTGTCTCATATGATCACTTCGTTATCTATTCTTATACGAGGAATGTGAACAATCTTCGCCCAATCTTCCGCGATTTTTGTCTGGCACCGTTGGGTCAGCGAGGGGCAGCCAATGATGTGCAGCAAAGAAAGAGATTCCGGCAAGCCCACTTCTGGCGGGAACTGGAGCCTCGGAGACCCAAAAATTCGTAGATTTTGAAGAGAAGTGAGGTGTTGAAGCCCCGCTCTTGGGAGAGATTCGAGACTGGAGCACCACCAAAATCCTAGGTTCTGAAGAGAAGTGAGGTGTTGAAGTCCCTTTGCATCCAAAGATTTTAGACTTGATAGATGACAAATACCGAGAGTGTTGAATGGTAGGAAGCAGATGATCGTTGAGCTACGTCTCTAATGGATCCTCACTTCCCCAATTCGTGAATTTTTTAAGGGAGCCAAGCCTGTTCAAACCCCACTCCTCTGAAGGTTTGAGTGTGTTACAATGAATGACTCTAAATTCTTGTAGGTTGGGAGGCAAACCCCCTTCTGTAAATGACATAAGATATCGAAGACCCTCCATGTACAATTTTTGAAGGGCAGTGAGGGTGTGAATTCCTTTAGGAAATGACTTTTAAGTTCTCGCAACCTATGACTTTCAAGGAAATCAGGTTGGGGGCAGGCAAGCCTCCTTTAGGGAAAGTGGCCAGATTTGGACACTTCTCGATCTTCAAGTCATTGAGATGGCTGAGATTTTCATCACATCCTTCAGTAAAAATGGATTCGAGATTCTCACAGTGCAAATTGAAAGATCCGCAAGCACCGAAAAAAGGCCAACGAGAAGGAATGAAGCGAATCACAGGTGCAGTATTAAACCAGACGTTTCAGGGATGTGAATTTGGTGATCATCTCATGAGGTAGGAATGATAACCTTGGACAATGGTCTATAGAAAGTGATGTCAAAGTACTAGGTAGACCATCTCTAGGGAATGACAGCAGGGACAGAAACGATAACAAATCGAGTGATGTCAATCTGCTGTGTAGACCATCTGTGGAGAATGATAACAGGGATGGACACCGGTGTACAGTCAAACACTAAAGATGATGGATGTTTCTGCTAAAACATTTTATATCAGCACAATTCTTAATCTCAAGTTCTTGAAGCGAGGGCAGCCACTCTTTGCCCAGTAATGGTAACAGGCCTGGACATTCATTTACTCCCAATTTTTTGAGAGTTAATTAAGTTCCCCCATTTCTTTGAGTGTTGAACCAGTTAATTTGCCCACCAGAAAAGAAGTCAATGTCCTCAAATCCACATTGTAATCTTGTCAGCAATTATATATGCAGTTTAAATCTTTATGCGAATATGCCATCTGGGTATAATGTTACTGTAGAACACCACTTTGTATATCAAAGTTTGTGTCTTTTAAGGTTTCCGCTGCCCTGGAACTTTTTTGAAGAGGGTACATTGACGAATGAAAATCCAGTTTGTACAGGTTATATGCAAATTTCGAATGCAAGTGACTAAGCCAACGATATCTAGAAAGCATATGTATAAAATGAAATGAAAGCAATACATCCAGCTTATTGTCTTGCTCAAGCATATATAATGCACGCAGTTGGCAGACTCTTTCAGATGAGCCAACTCCACTGCTAAAAGTAAATTTTACAGGCACCTGCCCCTTCTCCCATCCACAGTGCTCTTGACTGCATCAGTTTCCAGCATTCTAAGGGATCTGGGAGAAGCGCATAAGTATAAATTGGTGCAACAATTTAATCAACCATTTTGGACTTTGTAAGTTTATAGGCACCTGCCCCTTCTCTAATCCACCTTCGATCTTTACTTAATCTTGAAGTAATCAAACATATGACAAGGATGGCAGGGTAAAGGGAGACTTTGAAAGGACTATCCAAATGCTGAGAGAAGTAGACGTATTGAATTATAGACGTAACACACTGAGCAATGCCACCGATTAATCCAGAAATTTCAACGACGGTACCAAGAGGCTTGTAACAGGGAGGCGGAGGATAAAAAAACCACCATAGCTTTCCCCACCTCCTCAGTTCAACTCTTCCTTTTATACCTTTGTAAATGAACTCCAAGACGCAAATGAGTACCCCCACAATAGCCAGCAACATACCAAATAATGCATACCGGGGCTTACTTGGAGAGGAAGCCTGATCGCATGCAACGGACAAAATCTCTAGGCAGAGGCTAATGAATAAAAAGGGCCATTCTGCTGAAGCAGCCTACAAAAGAAATGAGTAATAAGTATAACCAATGTGAAAATCTAGCAAGAATATGTAAAGGAAATTATATATGGTTACTTTTCTTTTAAAGATATGACTAGTGATCAATTGTGTTCATTACCTTTTTCCCGTGTCTAAGCTCGTAAATTTCATTGTTGGGTGAAGATCCTGATCCGTAGTCAACACCAAACAGAAAAGAGCTTGCAGGTCTCTCATCCCAAAGATCCGGCTACATTTTGGAAAATACAGAGATGGAATTAGTATTGTGTGTGTGTGTGTGTGATCTCAGTGTTGCACTAGTGGCTAAAAATTAGAGAAATGAAGGTATGATGTTTCTTATTTTTCAAGCAAGATGAATCTGCATTGAAGTTGCAGAAGGGAGCTGGTCATAGGATATGTACTTCTTCAAGCGAGAGGTTTGGGGAGGGAATTTGGCTTGAAGTTGCAAATTTTTGTTGTGAAGGTATGTATGAGGGATTTGTTAGTGATTTTAAAATCCCTCGTGCATGCATTCGAAATGTTCATTGGGTCTCGGAAGTCCCTCGCGCAGGCTTCAGAAGTAGAAAATGGTGAATTAAGTTTCACTAAAAGGAATAATAAGCGCAAGTTATCGGCTTGTAGCTCACTATAACGCACACACAACAAGGTGGAGGAGGTGGCTACACTCTGCAGCAATGGTCTCTTTGACTCTTCGGAGGAAAAGTTGGTGTGGGGAGAGAAAATGAGGGAATGGAAGCGCGCGGGACAAGAAATTAACAGAAGTTGACGGATGGCGGCATTGAGTTGAAACTGACTGGAAAGCACATGGACCAAAACGATCAAATTCAAAACATAGGGACGAAAGTTGCACTTACTTTGTGAGAACTACAAGAACTAAAAAGTGGTTTTGCTATCGGTTGACTTATCAAAGAAATTATAAATCAAACAGAAACAACTAACATAATTAAACAGCGATGCGTAAGAAGCAAAAACAAATATGTGTGGTTATCATTTCCATCGCATATTACTCTAATCTCTGGACTGCCACACCAAACAATCAAAGCTCCCTAGCCCACAATATCAATATATATATAATATGTATAATATTTATATAATTAAAGACATATAAATATAGAGCTCTAACCATTTCGTCGTGCAAGCCATCTTTCTGTTCTGCAAGATGTTCTAAGATTTGTAATAGCTCTTCAATCCTACAATTCACGCCTCGATTATTACCACAAAGTTTGAAAGAAGTAGAGAGGAAGTTCAACACCTTTGTCGTTAATCCATCAGTTGGTCGTTGTAAAACTTGTGCAGTACTAGTACTGTTGATCTCACCCAGTAGGTCCTCCACATCAAAGACGACGTCTCGAAGCTTTCCGAGCCAGTCTCTCACGGCAGGGTTTGTCACTTGCTGTTGTTTTACGTAGTTGAGGACTGCACAAAGAGTCGACAGCTTCCCCCTCAATCTGTCAAGTGAATCGTAGTCAAGATCCCCTTGGGAGAATAAGTCGCGCAACTCCCTTGAAGCCATCCGGTCACACAACCCCTGGACGGATGCGGAGAGAAAATCTTGTCCCATAACAGATCCAGCCATTTCTGTTTTCTTTGCAAAGGATTCAGGTGAACTCTAAATCCTTTCCTTTGATTCGACCCAAAAAAAAAAAAAAATCCTTTCTTTTGAGATTTGTATATAGTGTCAGTATAATTGACCGACTTGACGACTTGAAGACTTGTAGTCGTGCTTTTTGGTTTTAAATTTAATTCATTTGGTTTTATGGTCAACTAACTTGAAGTCGTGGGAGCGTTGGTTGGATGGGTGAGGATTTACATTTTGACGATGTTTTTGTTTAATAATATTATTATATCATTAGAATCAAAAGAAAAATTAAAGAAAAGGGTTTGAAAACTTTGAGTTTTAACGATAAAATAAAGGGTAAAGTAAATAATACTAGTATTGATTTTTTAATGTAAAAATATGATTTTTCGTTAAAATACACAGTATCAAAAACTTTTCGTTGAAGTTCCTTAAATCAAAATGTTTTGAAACAATAAATACGTTTTATATAAGTTGTCCTCCATCGAATGGCACAAGTATAATTACTTTCTTTAATTCATTGGACGGCGAGAACTAAATCATACCAAACCAAATCAATACGCGTAGTTTGGCCCCATAAATTGCTTTATTTAACCTAGTGGGAGACATCTGCAAATGATTTGTACTCCCCTTTGAGAGGAGGCATAAATATAAATTTGAGGATGACCATCTGGGTACCTTTATTTTTGGTGAGCATCCAATGAAAATGTAAATTACCCTTGCATCTCAACTTATTTTTTATTTATTTATTATTATTAAAAAGATGGAAATGATTCGAAACTATTACAAATAATTAAGGAGAGATGGAGTTTCAAACTAAAGATTCATGAGTAGAAACTCAACATCATATTCACCAAGATATTAGATGTGTATATTTTCTTCTTTCTCCAATGCGAGATTCATACACGTGTAGCGAATTTCAAGTCTAACGGATGAACAACACAAATCGGATAACGTGGAGCAATGTGGCCATTGAACTTCACATTGACATCACTCAAGCCAAATACAATAATAACCTGCTATGATACAATGCAAACATCCAACTCCAAACCAATTAGCAATAAGTGGAGAGGTCCAATATCATTTAAACCATTATACAAGGTTTTAATTCCTAATGTAAGATTCACATGCTCAAACAAAGCGATTTAAATAAGGGAACTTTAACGAAAAGTTCCCAGTACTGTTCACTTTAATGAAAAACCATATTTTTACACTAAAAAGTCAATTCTGGTACTATTCACCTTACCATTTATTTTGTCTTTATCGTTAAAACTCAAAATTTCAAGCAATTTTCATTAGTTTTCTTTGTAAATAATGATTAAAAAAAAAACAAAATGTAAATTGAACATGCCGACGTGGCGGGGTGCAATCTTCAACTGTTAGGTTTGCAGAAAAACCTGTCTACACCAACACCAACCAGAAAATGATAGTGGCTACTGAGACATTGAAGAAGGATGATAAAGCATGCCGCAACATTCAAATAACAACAGTATGAGGGAAGTCACATCGAAGGACCAGGTTTACTCTTCCCATGCAGGCTGGAGAATCATATTCATGCCTGAGCACAATTTAAGGACCACTACGTCAACAGCTGCCCGTGGATAGTGTTAAGATAGTTGAAGAAGAAGATAGAAACGAGAAAGAAATGAGGGGGAGAGAGAACAATCTCTATTTTGTTATTCCTATTTCTGAATAACGAGCACTCTGCTCTACAACTTCAGTTTTATATCTCAATACCCCAATCTCATCAATCTAATCAATATAGCTTGTTGATGCACAAAATCTGTGAGGACTTTGGTACAACAGAAAATGTTAAGTTTGTGACCTTCACAAGATTGCTTCGGTCACTAGTTTGAATAAGTATGTAAATGGATAGGGACAGGGAAGCAAACACAAGATGTATATGGTTCATCCAGATTGGCTACATCCACGGAGTAGAGGAGTTCTCATTAATTGTGAAGGGTTTACACAAGTACATAGGTTCAAGCTCTCCTTTAGTGAGTACTAGTGAATGATTTAGTACAAATGACATTAGGAAATATTGTGAGAGAATGATCTCCATTTATAGAAGAGAGTTTCTAGTTTCATTCTGACATTGACACGTGTCGTGTTGTGATTGGCTTCTGATGTTGACACGTGTCGCACTATGATTGGCTTCTGATGTCGACACGTGTCGCTCTGTGATTGGCCTCCTGGTTGGAGGGAAACTCTTCTGGGTCCTTGACGGTATAACGTTGACCGGTGCTCAGTAGTTTCGGGATTGGTCAAGTATGGTACAAATAGTGCTCCCCTAAGTTCCCGAGTGAGGGAAGCTCCTCGGTTGGGGACTTGCAAGATCCAAACCGCTGAGTAATCACGAAACTTCTAAGTACCGAAGTGTGGTATCGTCTTCACTTGCCTTATCTGTCTCATATGTAGATGTGGCATCTTCTCTGGAAGTACTTTTCCTCCATCCAGGGGTGGTATCTTTAACCGATGAAGATGCACAAGGTAATGTATCAATTTCACTTGAAGCTTACTTGTAGTTTCGGGCTTGGTCAAGTGCGATACAAACCCTATAGTAGGAGTCCCCCAAGTCACCGAGCTAGGAGATTTGCCGAATGAGGTAACAGACAAGGTAAGCAATCAGACTTCCAAGCAAGCAACCTGGATCGGAGGTTCGACTTCGGCTTCTGCTTGATTGTTCTCCTTCTCTTTATGTCGTAAACAGCAACAAGGATAATGAGAAGCAAATGGAGAAGAGATGATATAGATATGAGATACTTTTGTTTTTGAAGAAGTAACTTTCCACAGGTTTATTCTTGAATTGGGCTGGAGGGTTTTCTGGTTTCCTCCAGAGTATAAGGGCGACTCAAGAATTTGAGGGTCAAAACAAGTTCATCAAATCTAGAGTACGTTCGACCCTGATGATATGAGATACTTTTGATGTTGACAAAATAGTGGATGTATCGGCACGTGTTCTGTTACGCTTGTCTCCACATGTTTCCTTGTATCATTCTCACTTGCCCTATTTGTTCCTCAGGCAGATGTGGTATCTTCTCTGGAAGCATAAGATGTTGAAGATGAGTACTCGAGAGCAATGCCAGGTAAGTAATCAGGCAAGGGGTTCCAGGCAGTCAATTCCTGACTGGAAGCTTGATTCCAAGTGCTGACTGATTGCTCTCTTTCTCCTTGTCTTGCAGGTAAGAACAAGGCCAAAGAAAAAGACAGGGAAAAAGCATGATATGGGATACTCTTGCTTTTAACCCTGATGATATGAGATACTCTTGCTCTGGTGTGGCTTGTTTGCAGAGGTATTATCGGGAGGAAAAGAAGCTGAGTATTTCGAGAGACTCTGCTGAGAGTGCCCTCTCGGATGTGAAGAAAAGTTGAGCATTTTTTATTTATTTTGTAGGTCTGCCTGGCTGTGGAGGATGGAGGTCGACATATATAGGAGTCTCCTTAACAACAAGTAGTAGTGTTATTCCTTTACCCTTCTTGGTCATAGCAATGTAGTGGGAGCTGCAAGCTTCACGTGTTTTAACTTTGTCAGAGCACTTTGAAAAAGTGGTCTGTGGTATCTGGAAAGCTGATGTTACGTGTGAAGATTGCAGACAAGCTTTATCCAAGGAAATCTAGCTCTCGAAGTTCGAAGAGCAATGCCTCTTCGGTTTTCAAACAAGCAATCTTGTCGGGGATCTGGCTCTCGAGATTCAGAGAACGGTGCCTCTTCGATTTTTGAGAAAGCAATCATGTTGGGAGTCTGACTCTTGATATTCGAATAGCAGTGTCTCTTCGATTTTTGGGAAAGTAATCCCGTTGGGAGTTTGGCTCTCGAGATTCGGAAGGCGGTGCCTCTTCGATTTTTGAGCACGTAATCCTATTAGGTGTCTGGCTCTCGAGATTCGGATAGCGGTGCCTCTTTGATTTTTGAAAAAGCAATCATGTTGGGAGTCTGACTCTTGAGATTCGGAGAGTAGTGTCTCTTCGATTTTTGAGAAAGTAATCCTGTTGGGAGTCTGGCTCTCGAGATTCGGAGGGCGGTGCCTCTTCGATTTTTGAGCACGTAATCCTATTGGGAGTGTTTTCTCGAATGTGAGTAAAGGTTGGGCATTTTTGCCAGTCTGCCTTGCCACGGAGCACGGAGGTTGACACATATTGGGACTTTCTAGTTATCAAGCAGTAGTGTTGTTCCTTTACTCTTGTGGGTAATAGTAGGGTAGCTAGACCTTCAAAATTTATGTGTCTAACCTTTGTCATAGATCTTTGGCACCCGAGGAGCTGATGTTGTGTGTGGAAAGTGGTGCTTCTTCAGAATCCGGAGAGTGGTGCCTCTTCGATTTTTTAACCAACGACCATGTTGCCCTTTCTTTTATAAGGGCACCAATTGTGTGCAAGAAGTACATTCAGAGAGTTATTGCTTGTAGGAATTTTTCCCTTACTTCAGAGATTTATTGCACCTCATTTCTCCTTCATCATTTCTGAGAATGTCTGGCCCATCCGACCGTCGTTTTGACTTGAACTTTGGTGAAGAGGCAGCCATGCCTTCTCAAGACAACATATGGCGCCCATCCTTCTTATCCCCTACTGGTCCTCTTACCGTTGGGGACTCTGTGATGAAGAATGATATGACCGCTGCGGTGGTGGCCAGGAACCTTCTCACTCCCAAAGATAACAGACTACTTTCCAAACGGTCTGATGAGTTGGCTGTTAAGGATTCTCTGGCTCTCAGTGTTCAGTGTGCAGGTTCTGTGTCTAATATGGCCCAACGCCTATTTGCTCGAACCCGCCAAGTTGAATCATTGGCGGCTGAAGTGATAAGTCTCAAACAGGAGATCAGAGGGCTCAAGCATGAGAATAAACAGTTGCACAGGCTCGCACATGACTATGCTACAAACATGAAGAGGAAGCTCGACCAGCTGCAGGAATCTGATGGTCAGATTTTACTTGATCATCAGAGGTTTGTGGGTTTGTTCCAAAGGCATTTATTGCCTTCGTCTTCTTCTGGGGCTGTACCGCGTAATGAAGCTCCAAATGATCAACCTTCGGTGCCTCCTCCTTCTGGGGTTCTGCCTAGTACTGAGGCTCCGAATAATCACCCTCTGGTGCCTCCTCTTTCTGGGGCTCTGCCGACTGCTGAGACTTCTCCTGAGCAACCTTT